CTATGTCCTTTTTTTCTTCATGTTATTCGTATTCACACCCTGCCACTACTCTAGCAGCAAATTTTGGGTGGTCGAAATGGGACACGATCACACACAGTTTCCGGGATTTCCTTATTATAAGTGCGTCTCACTAAGTACTTTACAAATCAATCAGTTGTTCAAACAATCATCGTTCATAGATTTTGAAGTATCAATTTAATTATCTATCATTAAATTGTTCCCAGTTTACTCATGTATCTTCCTTCAATCGTTTGGTTGAGCCGCTGAGTTGGGGGAATGCATTTAGAAAATTACGAACTTGTTAACGTGCTGCCGAGAGTCCGGAACTGAAAGTAAAACATTGTCGTCGACAAAGGAATGAATGGAGACGGCCGTGGAGGACTACCACTGCTACCAGCACACCGAGATGCTGCCGTCGTAACGGTTGGCATACCCTCGAAAATCCTCCATCTCTCTCTATCTGTATTTTCCCCAATTGTGTCCCGTCCTTGTGAGCTCTCTGAGCGGATAATTATGGGACGATGACATCGCTTGAGTGTCTAGCAGACAGAAGCGTGCGGATGCAACCCCAAACCGCTAGGGGATGAATGTTTACAAGAGCCACTTCGGTTTTCAGAAAGTACGATAATGAAACCTTTCCTGGGATCCGGAACGCGATGCTACGCCAACCATAATACTGGTCAGGACAACTATTCCTATCAATTTAGTTTGTCTACCTCCCTTAGGTACCTCCATTACTAGACGCAATTAATTTATATTAAAAAAAATCGACTCCACTAAAAACAAAATACGCCAAACAGTTGAACAGAGTCTATAAATTAAACAGTTGACCATCAGCGGCTATTAGATATTGTTTTCAGTTGAGAGTTCTCTTTTTTTTTATTTAATGTAAGGCCCCTATACGCCAATATCAAGTGGTTGACGATATTACATAAACAGCCTACAATTTCTCCTTTTGCTTCCTTCCTAAAAATTAATTTTCGAAGCAAGAGGACGATTTATTTTCGCTATCTGCCGTCGTCAAAGTGAAACATTAACAAGATCAACTATCAATTTTCCAATCGGTCACCTTCACATTGTTTCAAGCAATAAACGGCGCCAGTTTTCGTTCCGGCCGTCAAAAGGATACGCGCTAAGAGATCCTTCTTTACTGACTGACTACAAACGTCCATTAGTCATTCTTCTGAAACGACAAACGAGCAAGGAGCGGGACCGAAGCGATACGGAGTTCATTGTGACCTGGAGCATCAAGTCATCGTTGATGGCTTAATGACGCTCTTATTGTACATAATATTTTCCGTTCTCGATGAAAAATTAAGCAACATTCTACACTTCAAAATGATTTGTCATCATTATTATCACGGTTAATAAACAATTTTCTCGTACGGTGCCTAACAATTACAGTTCCTTGATAGTAAATTTCCTATTAACTGCCAGAAAACGCGATAATAACAAAAGAAACTACGAACAATTTAAAGATAGCAGACAAATGAAGATTCAACAGACAGAAGAATAATAAACAGATCAATAGCGGACAAATGAGGATCGAACAGACAGAAGAATATTGAACAATTCGATAGCGGACAAGTGAAGGTCGAATAGACAGAAGAATACGAAAGCAGAATAGCGGACAAAAAAACATGCAATGGGCGGTGCAATATTGGACAATTGAAATCATAAAGTTGAATGAAAAATATTCGCAATGACATGCAGTTTTATGATACACAATTGTGATGAGTTTATGACATTTACATAATACTTTCTTTCTTCGTTTTTGCTCTTGTTGACAGTCAGTTAATGGAATTTCCGATCAGATTGTAGCGATTAAGTCAGTCCTCTGTGGCGGCATCAAAGTGGGCTGCGAAGCTGGTGTTAAAGGTCAACAAAATGTGCAATTATCCTGCCGAAACGAGATTGTTGTGGATCTTGCAGGATGCTGACATGGCGTGCGATCAATCACCAAAAGACCTTAATTGACGCGACCGTTCATGTCGAACTAATTTACACGAGACGCGGTTTCATATAACAACAACCAACGGCAGCCTATAGATCCTTGTAAACAACGCAGGCTGTCGGTAATTTCTCTACAGGGTCAGTAAGCCTTAGGTATATCGGAAACCTACACGATTGGCACTCTGAAACAACAAAGGCTAATATCAACCCTCACCACCGTCGCTTTTAATTAGCCGGTTAGTGGTAAATTAAGCCACAGAGCCCACTTTTGACTTGTAGAGCAGAGCCGTACTTGTTTTGTCTGTTAATTTTTTGACGAAACAGAAAAACCCATCATCGGTTCATGATTGTATTCGCGTTTTCAAACCCGAAGTTAGATATCGGAAAAAAGTCTAAAAGACAAAAATTCCTCGACTTCGAAAAAGTTTGCAACAACCAAAGTCCAAGATTTGGGTTAAAATCATAGACGACATTGTTCGCGAAACGAAATGGGCATTACAGATACGGCGGCGGGAATTTCAAGGAAAGTTCGGTTTCATAAATTAAAATAAAACGTTGTGAGGTTTCCCAACAAAAGAGAGTGCATTAACTGAAAGAGTAAAAGAGGTAGAGAAAGAATGGAAGGAAAAAGAAAATAAATTCGAAACTTGAGGACAAAACAGAGTCAAGTTTTCGGTTTCCTTTCCATGCTCCCGTTATGTTTTCCCGTTACAAATTACTTGCTTTAACCGTTCGAATAAAAATTAGAACGGGGAACGTTGGCCAAAAAGTACGCGCCAGCAGTGCAAAAATGGGACACAAAGAAATTAAAGTTGACTTCGCCTTGCGTAACAAAATCGCAACGTTGCTACTGTTATAGAACCAATTGATGCACAAACAAACGATATGATGTTTATTGTTTTACTTTGTTTTGTTTTAATTCAAAATAGAGGCCATTCGTATCATCATTTGTTTTAGCATCAAAATAAATGACGGTTATACAAATATATCACGATTATAAGCGACAAATGAAAGCAGTCTAAGTGTTAAGCTAACAATGTTTGAATAAAACTGCGACATATTAGCAAGTTGTTTGAATTACACCCCTGTTAAAGGCACCTTTTCAAACTTAAAAAAAATTATTCGGACTATGTCGCGTCGCTGGATTTTGGAGATTATGCAATGGTCACCCTCTAACTTAAAACATTCAAAATAAGCCCTCAAAATCCGCAACTATTAATAGTGGGGTATTATAACGCTAAATTTTAGTTGTTAGGGCAAATTATCGTAGTCTAGCGTGTTCCACATTGTCCATAAGCGCATATTGCAATTTGTGCATGCACATTTGCGTACTGGAGGGTAGCAAAACGTGTTCAGAATAACAATGTATTGTGTTTGAGTGCGCGTATACAAAATAGATAAATTTTAGTGGCTTCATGGAGACACTGTAGCCACGAGAGGGTGGATTTTCGCACACCGATTTCTGAATATTTGATCACCCGTTTTTACTTTACGCTCAGAGCTAATAACAATCGACCGATTATACCTACAGGACGTTCAAAATAACAGCCCCTTTAAATGACATTTTTGTCACCGATGTTCTTTTTTTATCGAAATGTTTCGAATGATTTCGTACGGATAACATTTGAATCGTAACAAATGACAATTGCCATCATGACGAGTTTCAACTTTTTTTATAATTTTGTTCTCTGCTGAAACTTTACCTCGAACAATTCCGCTAAATTGAAAGTCGCGTCGGCCAGGTGCCCATTATGAATTTTACATTTCGCAGTCGTTGCGATGTGGACGATCGTCGGTTGTCTTTTCTAACAGTCACGCTCCGTCTTTTGTTTTATTACTTCTTTCGCGCGTACATAACGAAGAATTCCAGACGTTTTCGAAAGAGTTTGCATTTAAAATAAGAACATTTCCGCGGTGTTTCGAAACGGAACGGGGAGCATTATTCACGCGACGTTAGGCAAACAATTACAACGGCAAAGTCCGGGGGATTAAACTCAATTATGCTACCCCGAAAATGGGACAAGCTTATCATGCTTTAACCTTATTAACATTCACGCCTAGAACTTTTTAAACGAAACGCTTAACCCCCCGGTTCTACTAATATTCGTTTCGTTTTATGGGGATAGAAACGTTGTCCTTCCTCATTTCGTACTCGCAAATTTAAACGTAGTTACGTAGTTACATTAAACCATAAACTTCCTTTAAGGGATCATCGGGATAACGGTGGGAACTCTGGAAAACTTCTCTAGTGTAGCATACAAGGAAAGGGAACTTCAAAGCAGTACATTTCAATAAAATCCTGCTTTAGTTAGGTACCTGCCTGATGATAAAACAGTCGGGCCTTTCAAAGGATAAAACGGACGATTGAAAAATGTAAGGTCCTTAATAAGGATGATTTGAATTAAAATAATTAATTTTGGCTCAAAAATGCAAAGGATAATATATGCAAAAAAATAAGTAAATTATATAAAAAAAAATTGACCTCTTCAATTTAGCTCATTTAATGAGAATCCTTTTGTTGTTTAAAAATCCTAGAAAACTTTACGCAAACTAAATTTCTGTTCAGTTCTCGTTAAACTTTAATCATTCATCGTAGTAGTTCTGTAAAGCGAAAATTATTTTCCGAGTTGTTTGAATTTTCTCTGGAGTTATTTTTCCTTATTAATAGCGAACGAGTTGTCTGCCGTTCTTATCTGGAGACCTTTCCACCTTGTTTGTTGCCCTACAACTTCTTTCAAATTAATGATGCCACTAACAGATCACCGTTTGTTTTCCAGTCTTATTCGGTTGTTTTTTTTTGTTTTTTTAACAAAAACCAAAAGAACGATATTTACTTATGCAATTGTTTCATCTGTTATTATGCAGAAAGAAAGTCAATATAATAATTAAAGATAGGTAGGTATGTTGCGTTAAAAAGGATTACAAAGAGGCGCAGGCGTGCGAGCTTTCTAAGCTCGAGCAACTGATGCTTGAAACAGGATCGTAGCGGGCGTCGCGTCGCGTTCTCCCGATTCGAAATTGTTACTCTGTAGTCCTGTAGTGGCAGGTTCGCCTCGTGTATGCCGCGCTTCCTGGAGCGAGCAGGTTGCGTTCGTTAGCGATAATTGCGCTCAGTACGTTGCGTGACCACCTCATGAGCACTTCTTACCCGCGAATGTTTTCATAGCCAACTCGCGGAGTGTCTTGTGTGAGTGTTTTTTTTTTTGGTTTCGTCGAGTGGCCGAGAAAATGAGGAAGTCGTACTCGGTGCTTTGCCACTTCGTCCTGATCTTTTTCAAAGGTAAGAGGGAGATGCAAATGAGTTCGAGGAACAAGTTGACGGAAACTTTTTAACGAGTTGTCGTCAGGATTTATGTCGGTTTTCCTTTTATTTTTTTGCTTCGACGGTGCTAAACGCGCAAAGTTCTGAAACATCCACAAAAGGGGAGAGACGACGACGGAAGGATTAAAAATTTTGTAGGAGCCTGCCTTTCGATTCCTAAGTAAATCCTAAAAGAGGCGTGTCGCATTAAAGGAAACTTTTTAATCCATTAAACTTTGTCCTTGTTATCTTGATTAATAATATCTATCTAAGGAAAGTTTCAAAAAATTTGTTAATTTGTAATTTTGAGTCTGAGGAAAAACTTACTTTATTACGAAATTCTTATCATATTTCTTATCACAACTTTTTAAAATTTCTTATAAAATTTTTACTGGAATTCCAATAAATTTTGACAGTTTTTATTACAATATCCAGGATTACGTGCTAATACTAAACCAAAAAAAATTCAATGTATAGATACTTACTTTATCATAAAAAAAACTGAAAATTCA